AGCATAGCCACTGGTCATCAACCATCACAAAAATGATGGTTTCAGAACAACTTTATATACAGTCACAAACTGCACTACAAATTGAAACAGGCTCAACATTCGTATATATACAGTTTGTTCTCTGTTATCATGTCTCACAAATCAACGATGACATTTTTATTGCCTTCTTCACTGATTGGGACCAGAGAACTATATATAAATTACCGATAGTCAACTGGATCCCGTAGGATCAAGTCGGTCCGTAGGATACAATGAATTTAGACAGATAAAGTATATATAAAGGGGGATAATTAAATTCAATACAGTTATACTTTCCCCTACGTGGGATCAGATAAAGGTACAAGTGTGCAGATAAATTGATATAGAAATGAGAGAATATATAAACACATACCACCACATCGATATGCCAGTCCAATAACGACACAGCGCCTAGCAGAACAGTCATGAAAGCATACCCACTGGTCATCCACCATCACAAAAATGATGGTTTCAGAACAGCTTTATATACAGTCATTAACTGCACTACACGTTGAAACAGGCTCAACATTCGTATATATAGAGTTTGTTCTCTGTTATCATGTCTCACAAATCAACGATGACATTTTTATTGTCTTCTTTACTGATTCTACAAAACAACATGTTTTCTTCACTTCCATATGTAAATATGGATTATATATAATAATTATGTCATGTATGTAGATGATGTACCTTGTACGAATCAAAATAAAATATTTGTCTGTCTGTCTGTTGTCGGTTACTTTTTAAATATTCATAATTGAGAAAACAAATGATAATAATGCTAATAATAGAAATAATTTAATAATAATAATATTAGTAATAATGATATTGATGATGATAGTAATAATAATTATCAACACATTTCCTTTAAAGGTGTTAGCTTCTATTAAAAAGTAGATTTCTACATTATGAAAAAAAGTCATAGAAGTAAATTTGCTATCTAATGAATGTGCACAATTAAAATATATTCAACAGTTTTTATTCATTCTTGAAATCTTGGTGCTAAATCTCATTTAACCCATTACCGCATGAGCATTTTGTGAAAAGTGGCTGTTTTAAATTGAAAAGTCTCCCGTTACAAGTTCAAATTGCTATAAAATAATACGAACTCCTTCAATACTATTTTAGGACAAATGTTGACTGGACCATTGCCTTTGTAACATCGTACTCGTTGTAATTGTTGTTGTTTTGTAGATTTTTATCTTTCTTATTAAGTGTACTTACTACATAGTTTCAGCACCAAGAAAGTGGGAAACAATTAGCGTTTCACATGGTTTTACTGTAATCATAGACGGCAAAGTTCTTTGAAACTCGGATCGACAACCCTTAATTACTTGTTTGCTTTCAACATCTCATTGTTTGTAAAGGAACTAAATGAACATCAAAAGTATACATGAGATTTACAGTGTGTTTCATTTAATGAAGGACTTCTTTGTATGTTAATATTTCGCTGGTTATTTCAACTATATAAACAACAACAAAAAACCTTTCAGAAATAGCTAAATACATAAAACATCGCACGCGTCCCCGCAATTTTACGTGTTTACGTCCCGTGACCCCGCAGTTTTCTTTCTTAAATCTCGCTCCGCGCCCCCGCGCGGCGAAGTTTTCTGTATTTAACTTCGTCCGAGCACTCGCTTTTAAGCGTGCTAACACTCCGCATCATTTATGGTGAACATAGGTAACTGCAGGTGATTTACCAATCTCGTACGATTAAACTTATACACATATTTCTTGATGGCTCAATACCACACTTAGTCGGACGTCTTGTTAAAATGGAAATGAATTTAGCTAGTGGGTTCCAAAACTTTTTTTTAACATAACTACATAATTTACTGTGTGACAATATGAAAAAAAGAAAAAAAACAATGATGAAAACGTAATGAAATTTCCAAGACGGATATTCTGCGCTATGACTTTTTATTGGAAGTACGATATTCTACCTTGAATTTGTAAGCTTGAATTCAGTGTTTTTACTTGATACGGGGTGAATATAGGTAAACAAAGCGTGGATATCTTTTTAGTCATTGTATAGAGCTCTTGAAAGCAATAAAGTGTATCATCTGTAGATACATATTAAGCGATCCTTTGGAATGGAATGTTATGTAACAAATAATAGTAATATGGTGTCTTTTTATCATCAAAGAAATGAGACTGGAAGATATGGAAGGCAATAGGTAGAACGGTCAGAACAAAAAGTATTTATTGTATAGATATTAACATCGAAGATGAGATTCATTTTGATATGAAAATGTCTTTTGTATAATAATTTAAGAGCAAAATATGACAAAATATCATTTGGTAAGACCAAACATGGACCAGTCCTACTTTGTGAAAACCGATAATATTCAGCCTTCACCGCCTAAAAGGTAAAAGTGGTTTCAATCTAAGAACTTGGATACAATTTAAAGCTTTTATTACGTTATTACAATATGCATACTTAACTACCATAAATAACAAATAACTGTTTATTAATCATGGTTTAATATTACTATAACATGTATCAATATAAAATGGATTGGAAAATTTGTCAAAATTTTATTATGTGTTTATGAACGACATACGACAATTTCCATGTAATGCCGAACGGGTGTTCTGCGTTTAATGCATCTGATTTTCCAAATTCGTTTGCATCTTGAATACACTGGACATAAAACTTAAAACAATAAGTAGACCGTTAACACTTTAAATGTGTTTATAATATCTTATTGTTTTTGCTCCTTTACGGTTATTCTCATTTCTTTGTAAGGTCTCATTGTCATTTCAAACCGTTATTATTTATTGTAGAAACTGTGGTTCGTTCAATGCTGCGATATAATGTTTGAATTTCATGAAAAGGATAGAATCAAACATAACTTCAAAGTCCCTTTACATTAAGGTCATTATCGTCAAAATGCTTATATATTGTATTTGTTACGTTTTTGTCCTGTGTTTCTGCTTATTTTGTTAATTTATTTGAATGTAAAAATATTTGTACCATATGCAATTTTATCAATTCGATAAGCGATCGCCACAAAATTATTATCCGTTTTAAACAGTAGTTTTCAGAAAACACTAAGTACTGTACAAGTTATTTTGATTAATAACTTATAATGTTATTATAATGTTATTAATAATGATATGGTTTTAATGACTGGGACCATCGTTCACTCGTAACAAAACATTCTAGAAAAATATTATGCACTGTGTAGGTTAAAGGCCAAGGTCATCCTGACATCGACCTGACCAATAATCGGTCTACTGTCATAAGGTTTTATTATGCGCCCTGTGAACGTTGCCTTTGCCTTGTTGATCTTTATTCTTATAAATATTTCGTACAATGAATGGTTATACATTTGTACATTTATCAGTATCACACAGTCAAGTGTCTAATAGGTGAACGCGTTTGAACAGAATTCAATAACGTTTCAGATAGTCAAATCTTTACCCACGCTTCAATATCCTGAAAATACAAAGCTTCGAAATTTAAATATAACTGACCTTCATGAATTTAATCCATTTATTTTATAGCATGCCATTTTATTCTTTCGTTTAACAGTCAAAGTGTATATTATTCTAATTAATAAACAAGTTACTATCCGATAGTACCTTGTTCTGAAGATCTGGTTACTAAGTTACATATTCAACACCGTGTCACATTTTTGTTAACAAAAACAGTTTTTACAAAATAGCAAAACACAAATACTCGTATAAAGTAGCATCGAATGAAAACATAAGGTAACACAATCTCTATCACGTTCGCACTTTCTCTATTTTAATAAGGTAATCAAAATAAAATATCTCCCGGTTTCCCATTGTTTGTGAATACTTGTCAACATATGTGTTCAAATATCCACTTTTTAATTATCTTTAATTATTCTGAATGCTTAGCAACTGCAATATTCATGTTGTTATTACATTGGCTTGGTGAAATTCTTATGGCATGATGAGAAAATTGTGCGTTTTTATTCGAAAGAGACTTATGACCGGATACGTCATGAAATGAAAGTGCAAAACAGTACTAAAAACCATTCAGTTCCTTACCCATCAAACTGAAGCGTACGTTATATTTATTAGGTTATGATCTTTTAAGAATTTTTTACATAGTCAAAATAGCAGAAAATAAATGTTATGTTCAAGACATGTGACCAGGTGGTAATGATATGAACAAATTTTTGACGTACGGTTCGCACCATGGTGTATTTATGTTCGGATAAAAATGTTGAGCCCATGTGTATATGTTATTATTTACAACAAAGGGGAATAACTGAATAGATCCTTGACTAAAATTTATCGATTAGCATTTTGTAAAAAATGTTTAATTGCTTTTGTACCGTAACATTTAAACTACAGTTTCACGTGCATTTGATTTAGTGTGTTGTTTATTCAACACAAAAACAATTGAATATATATCCCCTTTCAATAGTTTTTAAACGTCTTGTTTCCCAACTTGGCCCCTGCTTTATTGCTGGTTTATTTTAGATCTCTCCTCTGATTTTCTTTATATGACTGATTTGTTTGTCGAAGCATGCAAACAGTATTTATTTATCGTATTTGCATCGTCGAGGCGGTTAAGTAGTATTGATACTATCATAACAACTTTATTTAATAACAGCATGTCTTAAATACTTGCATGAAACGTACTGTTTATTTCAATCTTACTTCTTAATTCTTAAAACCTAATGTTATTTAAAACTTCAGTATTTGTGTTTATTTCTCTTTTGTTTGCAGTTAAATATAAGATATATTTAATTCGATAAAAGTTCACCGACACAACTTCATGCACAATTTTAAGGCTGATACGACACATGCTTTCAATCATGGAAGTTTTTCTATTATTTATTTAAGAAAATTATCTGCTGATTCCAAATTTACAAATATTAAAATGTTGTGCTAAAATTTCGTTGTTCACGATTAAGGAACCCTTTCAAATGAAATCGTGATAACTCCAGAAGTTATTGATGGTATTGAGGGAAGCAACGTTTCCTTCAAATGTGTTCACAATGGAACAGGGTTACGAATTGGATGGCGACGGAAAGATGAGAGCAAAATTTGCCAATTTGCAACACATGATTGTAGTGATCTCATACCAAATGACGAAACACCGTGCACTTGTGAAAAAGATTATCAGAGCGTAACAATCATAACTTTACCAATACCAAATATTTCAAGTGCCGATCACAATACTTCCTGGTTTTGTGCAGTTACTTTTATGACAGAAATCGTCAAGCAACGTGCATCTTTATTTATCAAAGGTACATATATTATAAATCATCTAATTCTTGAATAATCATTCATTGACTTTATCGGTCTTTTCCTAATGGAAATAAATGGTAAATTACCTGACAATCAGAATGTTAAATGGAAATGCTATTTATATATTATTTTAGTTTTCGACATGGCTTTTAAACATAAAAGGCACTCTTCACTACACAAATAAGAGTATTTTACTTACAATGTCCTATTTCAAACTCCAACTATTTATGTCTAATGAGGTAAAACAAAACTAAAAGTAAATTGCCTTATTATAATATTGATATGAATGCATTTTTAAATAAAAAATAACTTATCACTAATATCGGCGCCTTTTAAAAATACTTATACTTTTAACGAACAATCCACACTAAACGAAGCTTTGGTTAAAATGCTTTTGGTCATAAGGCCGACCAAAACATGGACATATTTCAAAATAGTTACACATTTCTATTTAAAGAGTAAATTATAAAAATCTTATTATGTATCATTTAATTTAAGTTCCAGTTAAAACATTGACAATCTCACCAATTGCGAAGTCTATACAGATTTCTGAAAACAAAACCACAACGTTTACTTGCAACACTTCTTACAGCCGACCGATTCCTGAGATTCAATGGATTTTAAAGGATCGCAGCCATTTGCAATTAACTGGAGAGCAAACAAATAGAACCAACATTATCGGTTTGACTTCAGCGGAGAGTACTCTTATTAACAAACCTAGCAGAACATACAACGGATGGAAACTTTATTGTATTGTCATCAAGTCGGAAGTGCAAAAGGAAGAAATATCATCAAGTTTAATATCACTTAATGTCACATGTAAGTGTAACAGACTCAATCAAACTGAGTATGCAATATTTTCAATTTTTGCCGTTTTGAGCCTTCTCTGGGGATTCTTTTTTTTTTCAATTTTACCTTAATAAAACATAACTTTATACTTTTTCATCAATCATGGCCATAAATTAACTTATAAACTTTGATTTTATTTTTTATATATTGTTTTCTGTTTTATTTTTTGTTTCAATTAATACTTTTTATTCACATTTCCATTCATATTTTCATTTTTTTCTTTCAGATCCACCTGATTCAACGCTAATGATAAATGAATTTCTCTCAAATGGAATTTATTATGCTATTGAAAACAACACAGGTACTTTAACTTGCAAAATTACCGGAGGAAATCCAAAGCCATTGTTGACATGGACTAGATGTTTTGATAATGAAATTTATACTAGTTCTGGCAGCTCATCTACAACAGAAAGTGCGACAAATACGTTGACTTGGCGGGCAATGTCTGACACTGATAGATTATGTACATGTCAGTCCATACAATTAGAAAGAAATGACTCTGTGTCTATAAATGTCAAAGTATTATGTAAGTTTGAACTTAACACTTGTTATAACAGAGTAGTTAAAGTATTCAGCAATAATAAAACAATTACATTAAGATAATAACATGTTCGATGAAAATACTACGTGTTATTCATTTACAAATTAACAATATGTATGCGGATTGAAATAAGACGTATAAGCAAGGTTTTGAACATTGTATATGCGGCTATTTATAAAATTTAATTATTTTCTTATTCATTCCTATTTGTGTCTTTTTCAATAAATCGTTTTAGTATCAACAAACTTATCATTATTTGTTTGAAGATCCTCCTACTGTACCAATACTCAGGTATGACTCGCAAAATGTGTCTGGAAATATATATATCATACAAAACGAACAACTGTTGTTGGATTGTTATAGCAATAGTAAGCCCCTTGCCAACTTATCAATGGGAAACAAAACACATGCGCCAGTGACTTCAATAGAACACTGCCAAATTCTTGAGACGGAAAAGATGTACCAAGGAAATTATACGTGTCCTTGTTACTAATACAATGAACTCAACCGAGAGACTAACAGAACGGTTCTAGTAGAAGCACTGTTGAAGTCCATATTCTTTGTAAGTATTGTACTATTATTCTTCATCAATTATTTTTCTTTTGACACTCGTAACAGAAACATGAAATTTATATATACATGTATTTCCATGTACAAATTGCTTTCAACTGCCTGAAATATTGTAGAGAGAATTCCCGAGTCTTTCTTAATCAGTTCAAAAAATGAAATTCGAAATGTGCACTGTGTTGTCTAAAGAGACGCCCAGGATCGAATTGTTGTAAATATATATTTATACTGATATGATTGAAAATTAAAAAAATTTTGAAGTTTTTGGAAAAAGTGTTTTAAAAAAACCCTTTAATTTCCCCCACCTTAGAAAACCTGAATTTAAAAGGGGAAAGGGGATTTTAAACTCAACTTTTTGTTTTTCCAGGTTTTTCAAAAGGGGAAAAACCCCAAAGGGAAAAGGTTTTTTTTTATGGTCATCTGAGAGGGGGCCCTGGGCTTGGTCAATCAATATTTAAAAAATACGTAATAAAAATTTAAAAGGGGATAAAAAGAAAATGGGAAATTTCAAAATGCAAGGGTTTTCAAAAATTATTGGGCACCAAAAATGGGAAAACCCTTCGTGGGGAAAGGAAAAAGACAAATAAAAAAGTTTCAAAACTATCTGTTTCAGTGTTTTGTACTAAAAAATTTTTGCTTGAAGCATATAAATATTTAAAAAATTTTTCTTCCCTTTTTTGGAAAAACTGGGTTTAAAATTTTTTACTACCTTTAAAGATGTTTTAGTTTTTTTTTCCCCTGAATTTTTTGGTTTTTTTTTTTCCCTGGAAAAAAAATTTTTTGGGGATTTATAGGGGCCCCATTTGTCCCCTCTTTTTTCCCAAAATCGGGCCAAAAAATTAAATTTTTTTTAGTAAAATTTTTAAAAAAATATAGGGTTATTCCCTGTTAAAATTCCCCCCCTCCCCCGCCCATTTTAAATTTTTGAAAAATTTCCAAGTTTTACATATTTCTATTTATTGGTGAAAAACCCCAAAACATTCGGTTTTTTAGCATTTTCGGGAAAAATGGGCCCAAAAGATATTTATTAACATTAGTGTTAGTCTCGTTTCAGTGCCCGTTTAAAAATTCTACAGGAAAAAAGGGTAAAGGGTAAAACATGATTAATATTTAAAAAAATTTTTTTCCCCGATCGAATGGGGGTTTACAAAAGAAATTTTCCAAACTTTGGTTTTTTTTTTAATTGAAAATTTGAGAAAAAATTGATTTTACTTCGAAACAAAGGGAGGGGGTAAAAAATTAAATTTTTAAAAAAACTATTTATTCAAAACCCAAAAAAGTTGGGAATATTTTTTTCATCTATCTTTTAAACCGTTTGTTCTGAACATACTTTCTAAAACTTTTTTTTCCGGGTTTGTTCTTTTTACGGAAAAAATTTTACTTTTAAAATTAAAACATTTTCAAGGGGGGGCTAAAGCCAAAAAAATAAAAAAGGGTTTTTTCGTGAATGGGGTTTCAAATCTTTAAACCCTTTAAAGTGGGCAACAAATTTTAATATTACAAAAGTTACCTTTATTTTGCGAACCCTTAAAAGTTAAAAACCCAATTTCGAATTTCGGGGGCTTTCGATTTTTCGACCCAACACAACTTTTGGGTTTTGGGAAATT